GGGCCTGGTGCATGCTAAACAAGTGCTCTGCCACTGAGGTATGTCCCCAGCTGGAAATGGATTCTTCTGGATTTATTTTCTTTGAGGTTTACTGAAGCTTTTGAATCTACAGATTCATGTCTTTAGCTAAATTTGGCATCTTTCGCTCTTTCTCTTTCTCTTTTTTGAGACAGGGCCGTGCTCTGTAGTGCAGGCTGGCCTTGAACTTGCTTATGTAGCCCAGGCCAATCTCGAACTCATGGCAATCCTCCTGTCTCAGCCTCCCTAGTAATGGTATTACAGACATGCACCATTGCACCTGGGTAATTTGGCATCTCTTAAGTTATATTTTCACATAAATTTTTTCTGCAGAACATTCTTTTTTCCTTCAGAAATTCTAAACACAAAATGTTAGATTTTTTAGAATCCTATGGTTCTGTTCATTTATTTGGCAGTTTTTCTTCTCTATTGTTTATACTGGCTAATTTCTATTGATCTATGAATTAGTTATAATTGTTTTCAGTTGCTGGGACAAGATACCTGATACACAATTTAAAGGAGGAAAACTTTAGAGTGGCTCATGGTTTCCGAGGTTTCAATCTATGATCAATTGGCTAAAGGCAGAAGTATTATGATGAAGGACATGATGGAGGAAAATTGCCTAACTCCAGGCAGCCAGAAAGCAGGGAGACAAGGAAAGAGCCAGAGAGAAAAGGGGCTAGGAATTAAATATAGTCCTCAAGGTCATGACTCACCCAAACACACCTAGAAGTGTGCTTTACTAATTGCCTAGGTTCTCTGAAGCCAATCAAGTCAACAGTCAAGATTAACCGTCACAATTTGTCTTTGAATTTACTGACTCATCTCCATTTTATATTGTGCCTGTCTACACTCTTAAATTTCATTTATTGTATTCCTTAGTTATAAATTTTCAATTTGGTTCTCCTTTGATCTTTTACTCCTTTGCTGAGACTTTTAATCTTTACTTTCACTTAAATATTATTTGTCCTTACTAGGGACATTTTTATAATAGTTGCTTTAAAAATATTTTCAGGTAATTCCATCATCTGTGTCATCTCAGCATTGGTGTCTTTCTTTCAAGAGTTGAGATTTTCATCATTGTTTAGATGCTGAATAATTTGAAGTTACAACCTGGACATTTTGAATATTATATTATGAGAACTTGTATCGTAAGGGAGATTTTGTTTTTTCGGTATTGAGGATTGAGGGATCTTTGGCCTTTGCACTGAACTACATCCTTAACCCTTTCTATTTTTTATTTTGAGACAGGTTCTAACTAAGTCACTAAATTGCCCAGGCTGGGCTCAAACTTGCAATCCTCTGCCTCAGCCTCTCAGAGTACTAGGATTATAGGCATGCACCACATGCCTTGCTAATATTTTTATTTTACTTGTAATCACAAGTTCTGACCTGCTTTTGTGGATTATGTTTCCAAAGGCAATTCAGTTTTTAAAACCTTCACGGTGCTATTTAGATCTGTCCCACATGTGTTTTATCCAATGGTTAGTGTAGGACCTGATGTGATTCTTCATTCAGTTATCACAATCTTTTGTATACTGTTTAGGATTAGATCTGTGAGCAGGTTGGGGTGAACCTAGGAGTTCATAAATAACTTTATGGGGTGTTTTTCTGAGCTTCTCACTCTCCACAGTCTCTGGTACTTTGAAGTTCCTTGGAGCTTTCCTTTTTATCTACTGGCCAGAAATCTGGGGCTTATTTACTCCTGTCTGTCCTGTACTTCCTGCAGTGTTGTTTAGGTCTGGGCCCAAGAGGCAGGAGGACAGAGACGAGAGGGAAGAATACCCTTTGGGTTTGGGGACCACTGTCTTGGGACCACAGCTACTCCAACCAGAGAGGAAATTTCTTCCCTTTCTTGGCATTTTGAATATTTGTGGGTATTGCTTCCTCTGTGTCACTGGGCTAATGTGTGAGAAAATGGAGAAAAATTTAAAAAAGCAAAAGTATTTTTCCTACTTTCTTTAAACACCGAGAGGCCTATTTCCTGTCCTTCCTGCTGCTCTCTCTGTCCATGTTGATGCGCCACTCTGGATTTTGGGCTGCCTTGAGTCCTGTCCAATGGAACTTGGAGGGAAAAGTGGTAAACTCACAGTCAGTTCAGTTTTACTTCAAGTTCTGATCCTCAGATATTTACCTCACACAATTTACTTTTCAGAGTCCTTGCGTAAGTGCTTTACACATTTTGTTCAGCTTTTTCTTTTCTTTTCTTTTTTTTTTGAGATGAAGTCACACTTTGTTGCGCAGGCTGGTCTGGAACTCCCATACTCAAGTGACAACACATCTCCCTCCACTGAGTAGCGGGGCCTAAAGGCCCCCACCATGCCCAACTCTGTTTGGGTTCTGTACCTCCATTCAGGGGGAGAGAATGAGCTGAATGTGTTTATTTTATGTTAACTGGAATCAGAACTTCTGTACTGTATAGATCTCTCTCTCTCTCTTTGTCTCTCTCTTTCTCTGTCTCTCTCTCCCTCCCTCCCTCCCTCTATACTTCCTCTCTGGTTGGAGTGGCTGCGATCACTTTGGTTTATTTGTCAATAGTCAGATGAGCCTTCTTATCTACTCCAGGCAATTACTTTACACAGTAGTCTTCTGATTATCTATTGCTGTGAAAGTAATCACTTTCAAACTCAGGGCATAATTTAAAACAATATCAATTATTTTATTATCTCATAGGTTCAGGTATAGACTAAGCTCAGCTAGGTGGCTTTTGCATGAAGTTTCATATTTCCAGCAAGATGGTGACTTAGAATGAATAATTTTAAAGCTCACTCATTCATATGTGTGCCTTTTGGGGCTGTGAGTGCTAAAAAACTTGGGGCTTATGTGGCATTTGTCTCTGTTGCTGGTTGGGTTCTCCAGCATAGCAGCTTCAAGGTAGCTGGATTTTTCTCCACAGAAGCTCAGGGCTCCAGAGTGAGTTGAGACCCAGTTTCACAAGTCACCATCTGCTGCCACACTCCATTCTTTAAGACAACAGCAAAGGCCTACTTAAATTCCAGTGGGGAGGGAACACAGATGCCACTACTTGATGGAGGGGTGTAAGGTTCTGGGATTAGGAATATGGTTGTGGCCATTATTTAAAGCTATAATCTGCACAGTACCTAAGAAGTCTGTGTTTTTTTTCTTTTTGAGTCAGAGTCTCCATATGTAGTTCAGGCTGGTCTTGAACTCACTATGTGGCTTTCACTGGTCTTGAACTCAGTGATCCTCCTGTCTCAGCCTCCTGGGTGGTGGGATTACAGGTGTGCAGCATCGTGCTCAGCAAGGAGCCTCCTTCATTGCTCTCAGTGTGAGCTACAGAACTTTTGTCCTTGACTTCTTGGGTCTAATATTATGATTGATACGGCGAGTTTTTAGCAAACATGGAGTTTAGTGACTTTCCTGAAATTAGATCAAATTTTACCATTGTTGTATAACTTTCCCTGTGATCGAACAGATTTTTGGTGTTTGTTCACTGGCGCTTGGCAGGGGACTTCAAATCCTACATGGACTTTTTTCTTTTGGCAGGGACTGGGTAACAGCCTGGGGTGGGGGAGGGGCATAAGGAAAGGCTGGCTGAAACCTAAGTGAGAAGACTTCCCGCTGTAAAGAAAGCACTCGGCAGTCTTGGTGGAATGTTCACCTAGAAGAGAACAGGAAGATTAGCAATGCTCTGACAGCTCTCCAGCCTTCTTCAGTGAATCCTCTTAGAAATGTAAACTCTTTCTGAGAGAGAGAGAATACATAGTTGGTAGGGATTTCAGAATGATTGAATAAACACTTAAGAGCATAGTGCTAAGCACTATGAATTCAGTGATTATTTTGATCTTTCTTCTTCCTTTACCAAAAGAGCAACGTGTGTATTGAAAATTCTAGTTCCTAAGGTATGTTCCACGAGGCTTTATCTTTTTGAGCCAGTGTCATATTTCTACAAAATTGGACTTAGTGGAAGAAAAAAATGGAAACAAAGCTTTTGTCAATAAGGAGAGGAAGAAAGGTTGAAGGGAGGGGAGGGGATTGGGGGGAAAAGAAGAATCAAGATGTATTGTGTACAGGTACAAATTTCCTATGATGAATGTGATCATTATGTATATCTAAAATGTACTGATACAATTAAAAAAAAGATTCACCAAAGGCTCCCTGCGCTACTAGGAAGTCAACATAAAAGGGTCATCAGCGTAGTCACCTCCACCCGCTCCACCGACCCTGCTTTAGGGCCACTTAGTGCTCATTTATCCGAATGGCAAATTTTCAGTTCCTTCTGGTTCAACCTTGCTTCCCAAGGGGCTTGGTTGCACAATCCAGAAGTCACTGTAAAGAAAGGGAGATACGGAGAAGGGGGAGAGTATGTAGGGGGGGAAATGCGGGGCGATATGATAAAAATAAGTTATATTCATGTAGGAAAAATAAAAAAAGCAAGCAAAAAATATAAAAAGAAGCCATTCTTTTCGAATCCAACCCCTTATCAGTCCTCGAATTGAGCCAGACTACAAGCAGAGGTTTGAATGAAGCCTAGCAGATTCTGAGTCCTACAAGATGCAAGGCAATCTGCGAGAAGATGAAAAAAAAGAGGTGCGGGGGCTAACAGGGCTTCGCAGCTCCTTGGGTACCTCAGAGCCCTACTTTACTGGGCCTAGGGCAGTTACACACTGGCGTGAGATCAAACTCTTCGAGGTGGCGCCAGAGTCAGGAATCAAGATCGCTCAGCGACCGAATCTAAGCTGACGCTCCTGCCAGGAGCGGGCGACCTCTGCCGTCCCCTTTAGGCAGCGCGGCAGTGGCTGCCCGGGAACTGGCTCTCAGACCCCAGACGTCCTGGCCAGGTACCCCTGGGCCCGGCGAGGAGCGCAGAAACGCAAAGGACCGACAGCCGGCCCGCGGATCTGAGGGCGACAACTGGCCCTGCCTGGGCCACCGGGTCCGCACGCAGCGTGGCGCGAGCCGCTGGGGGACGAACAGGTGCGCGGGCGGGGGGCGGCGCTTGGGGATCCTGCGCACTGCGCGCGCCCCTCCCCCGCGCGGCTCCCGGCGCAGCCCCGGCCGGGCGCGAGCAGGAGGAGGAGTTGCGGCGGCCGCGGCCACTAGGGCAGGTCGGCGGCGCAGCGGGTATCCGCCGACGGTGCGGGCTGCTGCTCCCCGAGTGGACGAGGCGCGGGCGGCCCCGGGACCATGGAGCCTGGTGACACGGCGCGCCCTGGCCCGTGGCGGGCTGTCCGGGCGCTGCCGCCGCGGCTGCTACTGCTCCCGCTGCTCCCCTTGCTGCTGGGCAGGGGGCTGCGTGCAGGGGCCGCGGCCTCCTCTGCTGGGGCGGCGGCTGAGGACAGTAGCGCCATGGAGGAGCTCGCAACTGAGAAGGAGGCGGAGGAGAGCCACCGGCAGGACAGCGTGAGCCTGCTCACCTTCATCCTGCTGCTCACCCTCACCATCCTCACCATCTGGCTCTTCAAGCACCGCCGGGTGCGCTTCCTGCACGAGACTGGACTGGCCATGATCTACGGTGAGCACCCCTCCCGCGCCCCCATCCCCGCAGCCCTTCTCCCGGCGCCGCGCGGTGCTCCCCTTTCACTTGCGAACGTGCTTCGTTTCTTTCGCGTTTCTCGCTGCGATGGTGTGGGTTCCCAAGGTCAACTGTCTGCATTTCCTGGCGTTCTACAACCGTTAAAAAAATTCCACCCTATTTCGACATTTCTTCACTGAGCACCCAGGAAAATAAAAGGCACAGAGGTGGCCCTGTTCCTTCAGCCCCATTCTGTCCCTATTGCACCCCTCTCCCAGAGCGCCCCCCCCCCCACGCGCCCCAGTTCAGCTCCACAGATTGTGTGCATGCGTGCAGGTGGGTGACTTCCTAGGGGACCGTGCCACACCAGAGGATAGACCACAGTAGGGTGAGGACAAGGGCTGAAGGTATCTCGGCTTGGGTATGGGGTGACCAGTCCTCTTGGGTGCCACATCCGTGGCCAGCCTAAGTAGGCGCCCACTTCTGAGGTCCGTGTTCCCAGGTCTCTTGTTAATGAAGCTAAGAGCATGAAGTGCTGTGAAAGGTGAGCGTGGTCCAGGAGCCAGAGTGGTGGCACCATCATGTCAGACCTAGATAGGGAGACAGGTGTGTGTCCTGCTCTTATGTTCCAAGGGGAAGTTATATTCAGTTACTTGCTTTCTTCAAGGGAAAAGGAGCTTTTGTATTCCTAAAATGGTAACATGGAGTGATTTTCAACATACATTTCTGGGTGTGTGCTGAGGAAAAGTAGTGGTTTTTATTCTGGAATCAGCTTTCTTTTGTTGTTAAGGATGGGCTGATGCCATCATCCTTTTCTGGATTTAATAGGACATTGTGTTGCATACATGGTGGTCAACACAAATCTCATTAATTATATGAATCGTCCCTCTTCCTCCTTGATGCCCACTCTCACTTCCCCATGACTCCAAACTAGAGCCATGTGTTCTCTTTTTGAGTTTAATTTAGTGGCGTTAAAGCCCATATTTGCATCCTCCAGTGAAATAGATGAACCATGGCAGGACTGTTCCCAAGAGGGAGCATTTTACTTCATCACTTATACTGGAAAGATCTTTCCACTCAATTTCCAGCCAGGGCTCCCTGATAGAGAGTGGAAAGCTGACACCTTAATCTTTAATGTGAAAATTACCCTTGGTTCTGGCCTTGCTTCTCCGGTTGTTGCTTGGTTGTTGACAGCCTGGGCTCATGGCCACAAGACCTTTTCAAACAAACCACATAAGGGGCGAGTACTGTCAGGAGCCCTCCAGTTAAAAAAATAGCAGCCTTAACAGATTTTGAACTGATATAGGACTAGGTCTAAAATAGAGTTGGTTATTACAAATTGTAGGATGTAGGACACACTTTGGTTTCCCGACCTGGCTGTTCTTGAGCCCTGTAGTTTGTGTCATTTGGTGACAAATGACTGATGCCAGAGTGCCAGGTAAGCCTGGAGGTTTCCTGAGCAGATAGTGAGTAGGAAGTTGAAGAATGTTGTAATTTCAGGTGATTGACTCAAGCTATGTTGCAGATAAAGACAGCCTTTATACGTATATACATAGTCATGGAAATATATTTATTTTATTTTGTCTGTTTGACACAGGGTCTCACTATGAAGTTCAGGCTGGTCTTGAACTCACTTTGTAGCCCAGGCTGGCCTCGAACTCGCAGCGATCCTCCTGCCTCAGCCACCTGAGTGCTGGGATTACAGTGTGCACCATCACTCCTGGCTTTATTTTAAAGATCCCAGACTCAACTCCTTAAAGGAAATATAAAATAAGAAGTAGATTTGACAGGCTCATGAATACATGGTCAAGGGGTTGGAAAACAAATGGGGATTTAAAAATATATTTTTCTGAGAAGTACTCCCATGTTTTTAAAGAATTCAGTCACCTATGGTGTATCTTAAGTCTTAAACACGTTGGTGGAATTTTCCTTTGTTGATACGTACTTTTAAAACTCTCCTGAACCTTTTAGTCATTAGAGACGTGCTCCTATGTACCGATTTATTTTGTCCACAACCATGTTACAAATCTGGTTTACTTCATGATTCAGAAAAGGTAACATCATCTCAGAGCATTCCTGTGTAATTTTATTGTGTACTTTTGTGTCTTAGTGTTACTTTTAAACGTATAAAGACATTTAGTTTGTCAGTACATGATGTTCTGATGTAGCTTTTAATTGTGAGAAGACATATTTCTTTTTCTCTCAGGGATATTTTGAATTTTGTTTTAATCTCCCCCATTCTGAATCCTTGTTTGTTTTTTTCTTTTGGTACTGGGAATTGAACTCAGGACCTTGTACTTGCCAAGTGGGTACTGTGCTGCTGAGCTATATCCCCAGCCCCTGAATTCTTATATTATTTGATTATCTAATTATTCTCTATATCCTAAAAACTATTGAAATGGGGATTCTGATAAAAAATTCAGTTTGACAATCTTTTTAAAACTTGCTACATTCAGAGCATCATATGAAGTGATTACTACGTCAAGCAAATCTTTGAACATTTAGTGCATGCTGTACAGATTTTTCAAGAACTTCTTTTTTTAAATAGCAGGAAATTAGATTTTACTTCTCAATATCAATAGAGGAAGTGAGTAATCCTCTTCTTGGTTCTGAGTGATAAAGGATAGAAAGATCTGAAGAAACATTTGTTAAGTGTCCACAGTATGCTTGGTACTTAACTTATGGAGGCAAATAATTTAACTTTTAAATGTTGGCAAATTGTTATTAATAAAGGATTTTAACTGTGGATTTCAAAACCGTGTATTTAGAAAACATTTTAAGAAAGTCTAATTTCTGCCACTTTGTTTTCTTTTTGTAGTATTGGGGATCTAACCCATCCAGTTTCACATGCCAGGAAAGTGCTGCACAACTGAGCTGTAGCCCCGGCCCTTCACCACCTTTTTATATTAAAGTGACATGTCAGTCTGAGTGGGGTGTCTTTAGTATTTTTAAAAAATTCATATATAAGCTGAGATAGCAAAAAATATCCCTAGAAGGACATGCAGTAGATTAGTAATATTGCTTTCTTCAGGTGGGGTGGGGTAGCTGACTGGGAAATAGGACTGTGTACCCTTTTGTACATTTGAACAGTGTATACTCTTTTGTGCTTTTTGATTTTTTAACTATGGAAGTGGAATCAACTAATCCTGCATTCATGCCTCCTTTTTGTGTCCTTTACCTGGCATTTTAAGGTGTTCCTCAAATCAATTGCCTTAATTTGACGCCTACTTCTCTCTATTAAAATCACATTATGTTACAGTATCAGTTTTCAGTGACCTTTCAATTGTTGATGCTACATGGAACTTCTGCAGCCCTGCGCCTGAGATGGAAACAAAATGGAAACGGGAAGACATTTTTCTGCCTCTCTCTCTCCTTCCTTCTCTTTACCCTGTTGTCCCCAGGAAAGAGCTGATGTTCTGTTAGGAGTGGTAGGCACAAAATAGACCCCATACTAAGTTCTTGCTTGAGTGCAAAGGAGCTAAAGACATTAAGAGATGATGGTGATAGTGAATGCTTTGCATTTGAATAGAGAGGAACTCTCCCAACCACCACGGGACAGTTCTAAACCTTCTTCCCTGGAAATTGGGGGAGTCAGCTGCAAGGGAAGGTGGCCCAGTACCTGACTCGCGGGAAGTTGAAAGCAGCCCCCAGACCCTGCCATGCCAGCTGTAGGCAGCTGGGTAGAGCACTAGCCTGATACCAGTATAACCTGTTTTGTCAGACCAGGGAGCTCTCAACTGGCTTTGTGTATGATTAAGTGCCATCTTAAAGTCACTAGGCCTGCATGTCTGTGCAGCAGAAATAGCAAGTGTTTGAAGCAAGGAAAGGTGGTATAAACAGACCGTGTCAGTTAATTGTGGTTCCCTTTCATGTGTACAGTAGTTCTGCTTCCTCCACAATGTTTTTGTGACAACTGACATGGGTCCAAAATATCTGACTCTGCCACGCTTGCCCACCACCTGCTTCTTGCTTACCTTCCTGCACGCCTATCAGCTTTCTGAAGGACACATTGGTCAGCCCCTCTGGGTTCTGTGGATCATGGGCTCATTATGCCCTCTTACTGGGTGGGAGCTGAATTGCTAAGCACAGCGTAAGAGTGGGCTTGTAGGTAGAGTTTGAAAGGGCCAAGTAAGACTTTTGCAGTAACATGAAATTAACATTTGAGTCTGTGAGCAAATATTTTGGAACACCTTCCTGGTGAAGTGGGAGTTCCCCCCACGTCTTTTTAAAGCCTCTTACTTTGGACCCAGTGGGGCAGCTCTGTGTGGTCTTGCTTTGTTGCCATTTGCCTCTGAATTTGAATACTAATCTTGTTACTTATAAAACTATATTACATTGGGTGGACTCTCTGAGCCTTAGTTTCCTCTCTGAGAAAATGGAGTTAATGTTACAGTATTGTTGAGATATCTAAAGGGTCAAGTGCAATGTTTGGCACTTAAGCACTTGGTAAATATTCCTATTCTCATTTAGACTTTGTGATTCTTTGGCAAGCTTTGCCTCTTGAGTTTTGTTCAGTAGAGGCCTGCTGTAATTTTAAAGTGCATTATGACACAGTAAGTAGGAGTGAGTAGAACTGTATATGTTTTGTATATGTTTGGTGGACTACTTACTAAGAACTAGAAAAATCTACATCTGTCATTCCTATTTACCTAGCAATTTCAATTCTTGCACTGCATCTTCCAGAAACATTTGCATTAGGATATTAAATTATATAGGCAGTATATTTGTTGCAACAGAAAGTGTTGCAGTGCTCATCAGGAGGGGACCTGATAAGTTACAGTATCTTCCCCCTAAAGAATACTACATAGCTGATAAAAAGGTCCTTTGAGATGTCCTTTGAAGGCAAATGTTCATGTAAGACTGTTGTGGAAAAAACAAAGTGCAGGACATTCTATATTATATTATATTAATACATAACATATGTGCTTTTGTGGAAGGATATCCAAGTTTAGCAATGGGTTATCTTCTTGGAGTAGGACCAGTTTTTGGGAGAGAGGAGG